AGTTGGGTGATACTAAAACAATTAGACCCTTTGCCCTCAAGGGCCACGGGTCAATAGCCCATTTGGCTTCCCCTCATGGACTATTGACCCATAGCTCGCAGCCCCTAGCCCTTGCGGGGCTATGGACCGTCTTATTATTAAGTATACACATGTATTACACTGCGGGCTTGTTAACTTGGTTACTCAGCCAAATGGCTGCAAATTACATGATAATGACTTATGTATCATGATCACAAACCTCTTTACAAGGAGCCACAGAACAGTCTCTGAGTGCACAAGCACCATCATCTGGCCAAAATGGGCATGGTCTGTTCAAATTTACCTGATAGTGAAGAATATATGAATTAATTGCCCAAGGATTGTCAAAGTCCAAAACTTATTAAGTTTCCGAAATGCCAACCATTCAGCCAAAAATTCTGGAAATTATAGGATGAATCAAAATGTCCAGAACAGAAATTATAATTTGGTAAGAAATTTTCGAAAAATTTGGCTGTAGCTCCCAAGGTTGTCCTCTTTTTGGGAAATTGTGCAAAAATTGTACCACTTGCCACAATTATTTACAGAAATGCAAACAAGAAAATTTGATTGAATAGGAAGCAGCCCTTGTTATGGCCTTGGACATAGCATGTGACAAGGTTGCAACATGTAAATCAGCTCCAACATGAGGCAGTATTGTAAACAATCATTTTACGGCATTGAGCAACACTACAGTTGTATTGTCATGGCTGCAGATGTACAATCACATATTCACATACCCTGAAGAATTTGAAGAAGTTCTTTTTAACCAGTTCATTTATCACAGGATGAATCTCCTTGTTTATCTGATCAACTGTCTCCACATCACAACAACATTCTTCAGGTTTTCCTGATAACTAATCAACATAACAAACAAACATCACATTGCCAGTATAAAACAAAACATTACAACATGTACATTAATTACTTGCAAAAAATTTTAGACAATTTTAATTTTGGACAAAAAAGTGTCCGAAACTAAAACTATCCAAAATTTTTATGGGTCCAAAATTTTAAATGTCTGAAATATTTACAGCACAGTGTGCAGCTTTTAAGTAGCTCCAAAGTTCTTAGTTTCCTTTATGGAGTGAACTCTAGTTGAGACACTGCTTAAGATACGTTATGGCATCTGATGATAGAATTTCTGTTATTTTCCTGTCGCTCTATCTGTAAAACCTCAAGGGTGCATTTAAAACTTTCATTTTCACAGATGTTGTTTCAGTCTTACTCGTGTTTTGTAGGCGAAAATTTATTTTCATAATTCAGCTATGTTTCAGCAAAGTGTCCGAAATTTTGGTCTGAAATTTGTCCTAAATGAGACAAAAAGTGTCCCAAAATTAAATGTCCAAGACTTTAACATCCGAATTTTTTTGCAAGTGATGTAGTTTATGTACAATCA